CTATGATAGTTTTCTCTTTATTTATCATTTGTGTCTCTGTTCCGATTATTTGTTTAGTGGTGACCATGAGGTTTGTATAAAAAAAAATCTTGTAGATGAGATAGTCCATTTTCTGATAGCCTCTTATTTCCTTAGACCAGCTGATTCCATCCCTTTCCTTTTCCCTTCTAAGTTATTGTCATCACAACTTATTCCATCTTGTGTTGTGTGTTTGTGGTTAAAATGATGAGGTTATATTTATTTTGGGTACTTTCCTTCCCTTTTTATTTAATGATATAATTAAGTGTTTGCTAACTTGTTCTGGTAGAGAGCTACAATTTACCTATTTTGTCTCCCTGTTTATCTCCTTGCTCAAGGCTTTGTAACCCCTTTCTTTTTTTTTTCAGGCATGAGAGCCTTCTTGAAAATTTCTTCTGGGGCTGGGGAGGTCTTGTTGTAACTCCCTTAGCTTTTTTTTTTTTATCTGACAAAATTATTTATTTCTCCATCATATCTGAAGGATATTTTCACTGGATAGAGTATTCTTGGCTGAAAGTTTTTGTCTTTCAAAATTTTGAATATATGATTCCGCTCTCTCCTAGCCTGTAAGGTTTCTGCTGAGAAATCTGCTGAAAGCCTGATAGGGGTTCCTTTGAAGGTTATTTTCTCCTGCCCTCCTGCCCTTAATATATTTTCTTTGTCATTGACTTTTGTCAGCTTTATTACTATATGCCTTGGAGAAGGTTTCTTTACATTGATATAGTTAGGAGATCTATTGGCTTATTTCACTTGTAGTCCAAGTTCTTTCCCCAGGTTTTGGAAGTTCTCAGCCATTATTTCTTTGAACAAGCTTTCTGCTCAATTTTCCTTCTCCTTTCCCTCTGGAATACCTATAATCCTTTTGTTGCATTTCCTAATTGAGTTGGATATTTCTCAGAGAATTTCTTCATTTCTTTTTAGTCTTAGCCCTCCACATCCATCTGAAGTTTTTCTATATTTCTGTCCTCAAGGCTGAAGATTCATTCCTCCATAATATCCACTCTATTGTTTAGGGATTACATATTTTTCTTTATCTCATCCATCTTGTTTTTCATCTCCAACATTTCTGATTGGTTCTTCTTTATAGTTTCAATCTCTTTGTGAAGAAATCCCTGATTTCATTGAACTATCTTTATTTTCTTGTAACTCATTGAGGTTTTGTATGATAGCTATTTCAAATTCTCTGTCATTTAGATTATAAATTTCTGTACCTTCAGGATTGACTTCTGGGTGCTTGTCATTTTCTTTCTGGTCTTGAGGTTTAATATTTCTTTTCATATTGCTTGATGGTGTGGATTTGTGCCTCCACATAGTGATAGACTCTGGTCGCAGCTTCCACCTGCCACCACTGGGTGGGTGTCAGGAGCTGTGTATTCTGAGCCTACCATGATCTGCAGCTTGCTCAGAGCCACTGCTTTTCTATGTGTGCAGGCACTCTGGTTGATCAGTTGAGCTGGAGCACCAGGCAAGGGGAGAGATGCTTTCTTTTGCTTGCATGATCCTGGGGGCATTCTTGCTCAGCCCTCACTATCTGGGGTGCTAGCTTGATAAAGACAGCTCCTCTGTGTGGGGCTTTCCCACAGGCTGTGAGGGAACTTGGAGAGCGATGGTGTTCCCACAGAGGGCTGCCCCTCCTTGCTTCTCTTTCAGAGCTGTGCACTGGGTCACTGCCATTTGGGAGCAAGAGAAGATTCCTGCTCTCCACCTCCTTCCAGCACCTCCACCTTCAGACGTTTGGCTGCCTGGGTCTCTTAGAAGTCCTTTGTGTTGTGTCAATGTCCCCTGTTGGTTTATGAACATCCTTTTCATTGTATCTACAGGGGAGAGTCCAAGGGGAGAGCTCACTCCACCATGATGCTGATGTCACTCTTCCAAACCTGTGTCTTCTTAAGCTACAGTTATTTGGGTTTTTGTTCAGTGTGGCTGAACCTCATCTGTTGCAAAAGATAAACAACTCATATAATCAAGAATAACTCCACCTGCCTCTTTCTCTCCCCCTTCTCCATCCCACCTCACACCCTCAAGCCCTCAATATTTGCCTTCTTTTTAGCTTCTCACCTCAAACTGATAAACTAAGTACTTGATCTGCTTATCACACGAGAACTGGAAGCACAGAGGAAGTCCACCATTACTGAACACAGGCATACAGCTTTTGTAAAACCTAGACCCCAATTTGCTTTTAGGTATCCAAGATGGCAGCAGGATCCTGTCCTTTGACTAGAGGCAAGTTAACCAATCAGATTATTAATCACTTCCATTTCCATAAGGAAGAGAAAGTAAAGATCGAGAAGAAGGGATGTTTCCTTAGTAGTATTTCTGAGAGGGTAGTGTTGGTGGAAATTCCATCTTCTGTGAGATGAGAGGGGAATGTGAGAAGAAGAAGAGAAAATTTCCCTGAAGACACAAATCCTCAACTTCATCATATCTGCTTAGATTTCCACATCAGTCATAGCCTGTCCATCATTTTTACTGCTCTAGCTGTTTCAAAGGGAGGGAAGGACTGGAGTGATGAGACAGGTCACTAGATGCAGAGCCTTGCAGCCCAATTCGAGTTTACCTCCCTTCAGCCAGCAGCTCTGAGGATAAAGTAGGGGATGCAGGAAGCAGGCATCTGTTTCTCTACTGGATGAAGGTGCACATGCTCTCTCCCATGTGCCTCCGCATAACAGGGAGGGTTGAGGTGGCACAAAGAAACCATGTAGGAGAGTGGACTGTCACCCTGACTCCTTGCTCTGGGTTTTATCCTGTGTGAATCCTAGACCCATTTGTGTAAATCATCAATAAGGAGCAGGAAGATTCTTTTGTTAGAAATGCATTTATTTTGCAGTCAATTAAGGATAGGCAGTCACAATTTGTAATGGCTATTTGAGACTCAGGATTCAAGACATGGCCCTTCCCAGACTGCTCCTGCCTTCCACAGAAGATCCAATTAAAATACTTTCTCTCCAGAAAATGGAGTAAGGTACCCTTTCCTCACTTGAGTATCTTACTCTTCCTGTCCACTGTCTTGAAAGAAATCTGAAGGAAGAGGATCAAGTTTCTTTTGATTGCACCAAAAGTGATTTGAATGCACCTCATAAGCACGCTTTTTCTTCCCAGCCAGGTGAAAAATGTTTTACATTATTTTCTAAAGGAGTTGTCAGAGCTGACAATTTTGTCAAGAAGATCTCTTTTGGAAACAAAATTTAGTATTCAGGACACCATGATGACTGGAGTGATAACCTCGAGCTTGAATCTCAAAGCAGTGTGTGTGTGTGTGTGTGTGTGTGTGTGTGCCTGTACGTGTGTGTCTCCCAGGCTTTGTCCGTGGGTGATCCACTTTGAGCCACGATGCATCACATGGGTCATCTCTGGCTGTGAGGAATGAATACCTGCCCATGTGTTTAAGATTCAACTGTCACATCGTGACTCTATTTAAAGCTACCTAGGGTTCAGTGTTGCCTGTATTTGCTGCCTTGTATTCATACATCACCTTTAGCTGGAAAACACAAGCTTTCCAAAAATGTACTCAGGTCTTATCACAAATGTAGGTGGTAGGTGTTGTTTCTTTCTTGCTCCAGATGTGGAAAATGAAGTGGAAAGGAATTAACATGACTCCTGCAGGCTCACTAAAGCCTTTGTTAAACTTAAGCCCCCATTGCCTTCAACTTAATTTAGTAAAATGTGTTAAATCAGCAACTGATTTTTCTCTCATACAATTTTTTTGTTGAGATCTAATTCACATACCATAAATTCACCCTTTAAAAATATACAGTTTAGTGGTTTTTAATATATTCACAAAGTGGTACAACCATAACCACTATCTAATTCCAGAACATTTTTATCACCTCAGAAAGAAACCCTACACACATTGGTAGCCCATCTCTATCTCCCTCATCCCCCCAGCCCCTGGCAACCTCTAACCTACTTTATGTCTCTATGGATTTGCTTATTCTGGACATTTCTTATAAATTGAACTATACAATATGCGGCCTTTTATGTCTTTATTTTTTCACTTGCATAATGTTTTCAAGGTGAGTACTTCATTCCTTCTTATGGCTGAATAACATCCTATTGTATGGATATATCACATTCTGATTATCCATTCATTAGTTGATGGACATTTGGGTTGTTCCACTTTTTGGCTCTTATGAGTAATGTTTCTGTGAACACTCATAAGTTTTTGAGTGCACACAGTTTTCAATTCTCCTGAGTATATGCTTAGAAGTGGAATTGTTGAGTCATGTGGTAACTCTGTTTACTTTTTGAGGAGTTCCAAAGCTGTCTTACAAAGAAGCTGCACCATTTTACATTCCCACAGCAGTGTATGAGGGTTCCAGTTTCTCTGCATCCTTGCCAACACTTGTTATTGTCTGTCACTGTGATTATAGCCACCTTAGTCAGTGTGGTAGCTACTGGTTTTTAAACAATAACAAACAGATGTGAAGCTAGAGACCATGAGTCACTTTATAAGCCAGGAAAGTGGGTTATGTGGCCCATGGAATGGGAACATTTTCCTCACTAGACTTCCCTCATTTTCTTTATACCATTCCATGTCTGTGACAGGCTTTCTGGAGCCGGCTCTGACTGGGAGACACAAGAAGCTGCTCAAGGCCTCGCCTCCTCCCTCCATGCCCACAGTCCCATTCTCAGTGTGCCAATGCTAACATCCAACTCTGCACAGAAACTCTTGTACCATCGACACCAGCTCAGTGTATTATTGTCATCTCTGCTTCAGCTGTTCTGGAATGCTCTTTACTTCCCCATTTGATGCATTACTTGTGTTAACAGTGACACTAAATACGAAATATACCCATAGCACTTCCTATACATGGTATCATTTAGTCCTTAGTGATGCGTATTGTTAGGTCCCAGAAATTTTGGAGATGAAATTGAAGATGAGGAGAGTAAGGTTGATTTCATTAGCCACACAGCCATCGATGGTAAAGTAGGAGGGCAGCCTCATCTGCCCTGGTGCTTATTTCTTCTTGGCCTTTTCTCAGGCTCTGAAAGTCAGGAGGACTCCCTTACACTGGAAAATCCTGGAAAGTGGTTTCCTCTCTCCCATCCCTCAAATGCCACCGCAATCCTGGAGGGAAACACAGAGGTAAGTAGGCTTGGGATGACTTGGTTTTATTTAATTATAATTTTAATTATTCCATTTGGCCATTTATGTCTCTGGAGTCAGTCCTCCTTCTCAGATATTTTTTGACAGTCAGAAAATAAATTTATAACAATTTCCTTCATGATTTTCAGCAAGGCCCTATCAATTGGGTCAGTTTAAATTTGGGGCACTTTCTTGGCGAGGCAGATAAGAATCATCAAGACTTACTCCATGCACACAGCCCAATGAGTGAACTTCTCGTCTATGCAACAGGATCCAGCCCTGCCATTTCCTACCAGGTGGAGGATGGTTCTCACTGACGCAAAACATTCTCCCACCACACAGTCTGTGCTTTTGCTGGTTTCTAAAACGCACTATCCGAATAGATGGCAACAATGCCAGAGCAGACTCCGAATTGTGGCTGCCAGACGGCCATTAAGTGGGAAAAGAGAACGCAAATCTCAACACTCCACGAGGAAAGGAAATAAAGGAGCCTCTGTTTTTAGGGCTCTGTTTAAACTGAATTGGTATCTCTCTTAACATTAAGCTTTGAGTCACGGATAAAAGACCAGAAGAAAAATTCGGGGCCCCAAATACTTGCTTTTTTTTTAGCCATTTCAACCCCTTAACCCCCCTCTTAAGGAAGAAAAGAGGGACTGAGTATCTTGAAAGTGTAGACATTATCTTTTTGGCTGAGTCCTGACCACACGTTTCGCCCTGCGTGACAAGTTCAGCTTTTCCTGCTCGTCCTCTGACCTGCCTACCTGAAGAGCTAGAAGTCTTCTCAGTGACAGGAGACGATGAGAGTAAAATAGTTCCTACATTTCTTCTTTGAAGGGGACTGTGTGTGTGTGTATGTGTGTGTGTGTTTGAAAATCTTCAGGGAAAGACTAAAGAATAACTGTAGCAAATAATGGCAAATTACCTTTAATTACCATGCTGTCATCAAGCCAGCCCTGAAAAGCATTCGTCTGGATGTTGTCGTAAATAGCTCTCTATTCATCACACAGGCAAACATGAGCTCAGAATAAATGAATCCACTGAATTTTGTTAAAAAGTCATTTATCTCAGGGTTTTACTCAGTTTTATTCTATTTCCTTTAAAAAAAATGCTCCCTTTCAATTCATTCATGGTAAGGATTGGGGGAAATGTCTTTCTGAGTTGCAAAGATCTTTTCCTGGAGATTTCTACTGATGCTCATGCTCTGACGTGAATTGCACATGGCTGATATCTGGATGATTCTTATAACTGGCACAGTTATAAAATAAAATGGGTGTGAATTGTTTTCCATTTAAAATATTTTAAGTTGGCGTACAGATCAATGATGAGACATTTGGGAGTATCCAACTTGAATGCAACCTTGTTGTAAAAGTACACAGAAAGCCCCCCACCAGCGAGGGGCTGAGTTCCTCCTCTTGCCTCTCCTCTTGATTGTGGCTTCGTTCTCTCTCTTTCCAGCCGTTCCGTTCCCATCGTCTCCATACCTCAGTAATCTCTGAGGCAGACAAATACAATGGAGATGAAGTCAGAAATCCTGGACTGAATCCAAGCTCTGTCATTTGTTTATTTTGTGACTCTGGGTAAATCATTTGATGTCTCTGAGGTAATTTCTTCACCTGTAAAAGTGGAAAAATTCTTGATATTCATTATTACTGTTAGGCCTTTAATTTTCTATACAAAGCTCTACTATCATAATTCATTTAGCATCAATGGCGGCTTGAAAAATTAAATACACCAGTAATTTTCCTCTGGTTGTTCCCCTCATGTGCCGTGTCCACGTTCACCATTGATATCAATGTTTGTCAGTATTTAAACAAATTATAACGATCTTTCCCCCTCAAGGGGTTTTACTATTTCTGTTGTTTAATATTGACTTTTTCTGCTCCACCTCATTTTTGGAAGTGGGTGAGTAAGAAACAAAATGAGTATTGATACACTCTTACAAAACAAATTACCCACTTTTTTTCAGAGAACAGAGCTGGGGCGCTCAACACTTTCTCAAAGGATCTCTAGGAAAGGCCTTATGGGCAAGAGGCAGAAGAAGGGCTGAGGAGGAATGGTGAGGGGTGTCCACTGACCGCCTACTGCCCAGTGAGAATGAGCCGTGAACAAGGGGCTAATCCTCCAGCGAAGTGCACAGAGTCCTTGCAGCTGTGGGACCACAGGACTCATCAGGAAGGTCCCTGGGCCACTTGAGTAGAGCTGTGAGTGCCTATTAAGAAGGACAGCTACCCAAGAGGCCAGAGGAGTTCCTGGGAGGAGAAGGGATGGAAGCTGCCACTGGCACAGGTCACCATAGCCAACAAGCCCAGGGGAGGGCAGGGTGTGAGGCTCGGCCCAGGCTGGCAGTGGACTGCCTGGAGTGAGGACTGGAAGCTCATTGCCCCACAAAAGGGACACTGCCACTCAACTCATCCCTGCTATGGAATTATTTTAGCCACCTAAAGTAACGCTACTCTTTGCGGGCCACTAAGGCACTGTAGAACATTTTGTTCCTAGCAAATGGTATGAACTTAGTAAATGTTTGATGGATTTATTCATTCATTTGTTCATGTTTATGCCACTCCTATTATAGGCCCGACACTGTTTTAGGTTGTAAGGATGGAGCAATGAACCAGATGGGTGAGTCCCGGCAGTCGTTGCATTTATATTCTAGGAGGGGAGCAGACAATACACAGGTAAGGAAACAAGCAGGATAATTTCAGATATTGATAAGTGCTGTGAAGACTTATCTAGAGGCATTTTCTCAACAGAGGGTCCTGGGAGTGGTCTTTGAGGCCTGAAATGAAAATTAGCCGTCCATCCTGAGATCCATGTGAAGGGAAACTTAAGTGTATCAATAACGTGTGATGTTTGCCGATTTGGTCTGTCTCTTAAGCAAGCCCCATTCTAATAGACGGTCGTCAGAAAGCTTCGTTCAAACAGTTACTGCACATGCTCTGCGTTCCAAGCAGCGTGCTAGGGGTTAGGGATGTCAAAGTAAAAGCTGTGGCCCCTGCCTTCAAGGAACTGACATTCCGGTGTGGAGAACTAGATGTATAAACAATTACAATAATAAAATTAAAAAATAACAAAAAGTGAGAAGATGCCAAGCGAGGCGACACGGCCAGCACACTGCGGGAGGCTTGTCGAGGAAGTGCCTTTATCGGAATCGAAACAGCAAGAGCAGCTGTGTCGGGAGAAGGTTCTCCATGCGTCTCTCACGCTTCGGCATGTCTTGTCAACAGGGAGACTGTCTTTTGTTGAACCACCTGGAACTATCTTTCAAGGATGTTTGTATAGCTAGCCAACACCTTGGAGCTAGAGATAGTTTCTCCCTCCAGGGTAGAGAGGTTCATTTCTTTACTAGGACACTAAAAATGTTTCCCTCTAAGGCAAAGCTTGGGCAGGTTTCCTTGCAGCCTCTTGAGAAGACTGGAGTTTTCTAAGCTGGAGCTTCCTCAGTTGTGGTGCAGACCCACTATGTGCAGCATCCACCTGGACCATTCCATGGCAACCCGTAGGATTTCGGGGGAAAGAGGAACTGAAGGAATATGAAGCTGTACTGATGCTGTGCTGTTTGCCTCTGACTCAGGAATCATATCTCTTCTGCAAGAACCTGTGCAACTGCGGCAGGCTGCCTTGCCAGCCTGGAAATAGGTGAAATGAATAGTTCTGGACATGGTGGCAATATGCCGGTGACTTATGCTTTTAAACACCTCTACTTCATACCAGAATATTTATGCTTTCTGACCTTTAATTTTCTCACTTGTGAACTTGGGATAAAAATCCTCACCTCAAAAAACCATTGTAAGGATCAAATGGAATGTCATATGAGTGGCAGAGATGGCTAACTGTTCACAATACCCGTTCTTTCTTCTCCCACAGCACAGAAGCTCTGCAGCGTAGCAACAGCCACCTGAGTAAGGAAAATGACATGTTGCAGCCTCCCTGGCAGCTTGGTGTGATCAGGCAATAAACTTCTGGTCAACAGGATGTGAGCAGAGTTGTAGGTGCAACTTTCATATGATGTTCTGGAAGAAAGGAGAATGTCCTTCTTAGCCCCTTCCCTTTCCCATGGCCTGGAATATAGACACAGAGAAGCGACATCTTGGACTATGTGGTTGGGGAGACCCTCTCCATATGGTAGAGGAATAAGACAGAAGGAGCCTGGGTCTTTGTCTTTTTGCAGAAACTGTTCAGATCCTGGACTTCTAATGTACAGACTGTGATGTGAGAGGAAAATAAATTTCTGTTTTGTTCCAATCACTGCTATTTGGCATCTGTCTTGGAGCAATGACCCTCTATCCTAATTAGTGGAGGAGTGAGAAGATGAGAGTCATGCACTAGAAAGATTCTGCTGATGGTGGCAGAGGAGAGAACAGAGGCAGGGAAGTTAGAAGGGGAAAACCACCTTATGTGTTTCTTTTTCAAAGGCTTTGAAGTAGCAAGTCTTGCCTGGTCAAGGGATTTTTACAGGAATTCTGAATTCCATAGTTAAATAAAGTAGAGACACACTGAATTAAACACGATTCTTTATGATAGGTGTGACAGGTGTTTTCAGCACTAAAGAATATTATGCCTCTTTAAAGAGAGGGCTGAAAATCAAGTGTTCCTCCAACTTATTTGAAAATGGGCCCTTTTATCATCAAACTTCTAGTATTCATGGCTACCAACGTTCTAGGGAACACGGTTCAGGAAACATGGCCCAGTGCCTATTCGATTTAAAGGCATCCATCCAGCCCTGTAGAAATGTTTAATCTGAGATAACATCCAAATATAAATAGTCCAGAAAGCATTTCACAAAGCAGAGTGTGTGTCAGGTACAAGGACAAAATAAACACACGCATGTGCACACACACCCCTTCTCGCAAACTGGAACCAAAATTGCAGGTGCACCAAACACCACTTGGCATCAGTTTTTCTCCATAAGAGTTAAGCTTTCAGTTTTGTTCTTGGACTCAGTGAAGAAGGACACAAGGTACCTCCCTGGCTCCATGTGGGAAGAGCGTCATGAGGCAAGTCCTTGAGGAATGCAAATGGCGTGCATCCTAACTCGCAGAGCAAGAGATTAGGGCACGTGCCGGACGGCCGCCCTGCTCAGGGAGTTCATGACGATCCAAGAGGCAGAAGAATGGAGGAAGAGCAGAGCACGTGAGGTCAGAGGCCCAGGGCTTTGGCCCAGAGAGTGTCTGATCCTGCAGTAGCGACTGTCCATGAGTAACCGCATCCCGAGTAGCACTTACGGGATCGGATGGTGGTATAAATTGGATCCACAGTTAACATCCTCATTCTCTTCCACGACCAACATGAGGACAAGTAACTCTATTTAAACCCTTCATAGAAAAATACTTCGTGCAGAATCCTTCGGGAAGAAAATGTCCATTGCGATCTCATGCCAAACATCCCTACACTTTTCTCAACAGTGCAGCTCATTCTCTGTGCTGGCAAAAGCCAGTTTTCTTTCATTACTTTGGTCCATATTGGCAAAGGAGTTCTTAGGTGCAGAGGAAATGCACGCAGAGCTGTCACACCACACTTGACACTGTGACGGTGGTGACAAGGTTTTCCCCAGCTGTCAGCTTCAGAAGCATTGCATTTCCTTCGATGCTGCACAGCTCCACAGTGAGAAGTGGCAGCCAAGCCCTTTTATCTCCTGTAATGTCTTCATTAGCAACAGCAGGAATAAATTACCTGGGAAAAAGGGTGCAGAATAAATGGTAAACACTGTAAGCCAGGGGCTTTATGTGGATCTTCTAAGTTATTTTCTCCCATTGGACTTGCATTCTCCAGCAGTAGGAGCTTTGAATGCTGGAAAGGAAGGAAGAACTTCATTTCTTCTCTGCATGCTGGTCACATGAGACATGCTCGTCTTCCTGCACGGTTTCCTCATCTTCCCCCATGGGCGGGGCCATTACCCACCTAACAACCCAACCAACGAGTACAAATTGTGTCTCCAAGTCTATACAATGAGAGGGTGACTTCTTTTTATGGGCCTTGGAGAAATTCTCAAGATAAAAGAGAATCTCTTTCAGGAATTAATAGCAAGATTTCCCAACACTCAATGGGACACTATTTGTGTGGAATGATGATATACATGCAGAAAAACTTAAGGGTTTCTGGATCAAATCTTAGTTTGGAGAACAGGAGTTTGTGTAAAATTAGTCAGGTTTCCTTTTTTTGTAGGTTTTCTGGAGCTTTTAATAAGATGATACATACTGTGAAACTTCAAGAGAAAAAGAAAATATATATAGTTTCCTGAGTTTATTTCATCCCAGAAGCCTTTGTTATGGGCCTAGATAGTTCCAGGAAACTTCAATTTTTGGGGGGAAAGGCTAACGGAATCAGTTAATCATCAGCTTTTATGTCTAAGGAGCACATATCTACCAAACACTAAGATTTCAGGAAATGCTCAATAGCCTGGCGCTCTGGCCAGAGTTCACATTCTTGGTGTGGAGGTTAGGCCTAACACTGTTTTAGCAGAGAAATGATTTAATCCTCGGGACTGGTAAGAATATGGCAGTGAAGGTTGCTCCCTCTGAGCCACGGCAGAGATGGCTGCAGGATTTGTGCGTTTCCCACCTCACTGGTTGGACTTCTCCCTTCTCTCCTATTGGAGAGAGAAGACGCACGTGTGCACTAGCGACGATAATACAGGGATAGAACTCAGAACCGTCTCTAAAGTGTGAAATGGTGATGCAAAATGTTGGTGCCTTACTGTTTGACCGACATCTCACAACTGAGCGTGCTTCTCCAAAATGGCCCTGTGGTGATAAGTGATGGCCCAGAAGATCCTGAAAGGGATTTGCAGGATTCCAATGGGCTTTTGCTGTCAATGAGTGTGTGCATGCATGCGTGTGCAGGAGTGCATGTCAAGTTCACAAGCACGTGCAAAAGCACTGGATTGGAAGGTTGAGAGGAGAATCCAGAGAAGGAGAAATAAACCACACTTCCCAAAGTTGTCAAAGCTGGTGAGAATCTCGGAGACTGCAATTCTTTTGAAGCCCCTACAGCGCAGTGCACGGGGTGCTGGTTTTCAAATGATCATAGACCATGGACACTGGGGTTTGGTCTCCTGGATTTTAGCCATGTGCTATAGAGAAGTCTTCACTTGACGTCTTGGATTTACGGCATCTGGGAAAATATGACAGGCAATTTTAAATATCCTTTTAGCTGTAAGGTCAACTAGGAGTAATATTTTGAAAATATAAAATAAATGTGACAGGCAGCTTAGCATAGTGATTAAGAATATGGATTCTAGATCCAGGCTGAGTTTGAACCTAGTTGTTTATCTGCTCCATACCTCAGCTTCTTCATCACTACAGTGGGAATGGAAACAGTACCCACCTCAAGGTACTCAGGTTGTCATAGGATGAACAGTTCACATTTGAAAAACTGTGTGAATAGTGCCTGGTACTTAATAAATGTTTATTACATTTTAAAATATTTTTAAATGTGCTTTTCATTTCCTCTCTTGTACATCATGATACTCAGAAGTCATTCCACTGTACTCCCTGGGGAGCACTGGCAAGCCGATGCCCCTCTGAGGAAGCAGTAGAATTTGTGTAGGGGATGTGTTAGCCAAAGGGAGAGAAGCAGCAGGCCCTAGTGGACCACTGCAGCTGGAACAAGGAGAAGCAGGGGAGAGGTGCATGTGACTGGCTGCCCCTCTGCCAATAGGAGAATTCCTGGAAGGGGGCAAAGGGTGGCAGATTAAAGGCAAAGCAGAGAGCAGCGTGGATTTTTCCCCAATTCCAGTTGGGGACTGTGGGAGGAAGCATTCTCACAGATGCCCCTCCCTGCCTCGTGGACACTGACGGGCTCAGGCAGGGTGCAGGGGAGGGTGGCTGAACCTCATGTGAAGGTGTCTGGCAAGGAGTTGGAAATGGAAGACTGGAGCTCAGGAGAGAGACGAGAGGGGAAGGCATCTGGGAACCCATCCAAGCCACAGGTGGCCAGAAGAACTGGAGAGAGAAAAGGGCCAAGGTTACAATCCCGGCTCATTCAGTGAACGTGCGCCATCCCGTTCCTGGGGCCGGTGTAGTGGTCAGTGTAAAGAAGGGTGTTCTGGAAGTGGTTGTGGTATCATCCAGGAAAAGTCTAGAATCTCACTTTGTTGTGCCCTACGTGGGCTGGCCAACTGCCGGGTTCTTCTCTTCTTCCCAAGCATCTGGCTGGACCACTTTTTCCACTCTGCCTCACTGGATCAGCCATGTGACCGAATTCTGGTCAGTGGCCTGAGAGTGTTTGCAACATGGGCCACTTCCAGTCTAGACACATGTCCGTCTCTCGGCCTCCTTTATGTTCTGCATAAAAGCAAACCTGCTTTCTTTCCACAACTGCCAGCTTCAGAAAGAAGACACACTGAGGAGCTAGGACTGAATTACTGTGTGGGGCAGAGTTCTCACCCACCCAGACCTGGAACGGATGTGACGCCACAAGTGAGAAGTAACCTTTTACTGTTAAACCACTAACGTTCAGGGTGCTTCTGTTTTAGCAGCTAGTGTCCTTATTTGCCTAAAATATGCAAACCAAGATCGATTCCACTGCCTTTTTCACACTAACCAAAACCCATGGGAGATGGTGGCAGCTACCAGAATGCCAGTTTATTCATTCAGATTGACAGGTGTTTCTGTCGTACAGACCAGGAGTTCTCACGTTGGCACGATCCACGCCTTCTCTCCCAGTCATCAGACTGCTTGGGAGCCAAACCTAATTCAAATCACTTAATCTGCTTGCCATGAGAGATCGCTGCCCGACAGCTGGAGACACGTGGAGCTCTTATGATACTTGTTCTCGCTCCGTATGGAGATCCAGAAAGGAAGGAGAACCTTGTTTGGTAAGCCTGGAAGCAGAACAAGGGCCATTAGATGTAACAAGGTTTACTGGCAAAGAGCTGAGAGACTGAAGCATCCTCTCTTGAGAACGTTTTCCCAGTGTGACAACATCTGAAGCCTGACAACAAGATTCCCTATCAGACGATTCGTGGCAAGGTCCTGCCGCTCCCAACTCTCCTTTCCATGTTCTCACAGATGCTTCGTTTCCGCTTCCAGCCCCATTGGAGGGACCCGCTCTCTCACCTGCATCCATACACCTGATCAGGGCACCTTCCGTCTCCCCTCACTGTGTTCGTTCTACAGTCCCCTAGACTGCGCGTGGGGGAGGCAGTGGGAGAAACTTTCTAAGGCTTCTGAGGAGGACCAACACCTGGCCCTGTCTTTGCACTGCAATATAGAGATGAGTGAGGGGGGCACT